AACCCCAGGTCTTCACATATATATTTTGGGTACCAGGAACAATGCTAAATAAAAATAAATATGAACATTTATAAGATTATTTCAAAATCATTCCGTTATACTAATAATCATCTGTGTTTAACTACAAGAAACTTAAAGCTCTGTCCAGACTATAAATTTTTATGTATGCCCATATATAGTCATGATGTGCCCATATATAGTCATGATGTGCCCATATATAGTCATGATGTGCCTATATATGTTCATAGTGTGATGTCATTATGACCATATTTAGGCATGCCACATGTTTCTAATTTTACACACCTGTCTGTTGTTATCTCTTCTTGTTTAAAAGCTGCATTGTTTTTCTTGCGTACTTTTGGTACAACATCTGGTTTGTTAGCAAACCTCTCGTTAGGTGTTACGTCTTCGACTGAGACAATGTCCTCAATGTCATCTAAATCATGAGGCATTTTGATCAATCTGCTTGGAAAAAGATACACATACACTTGTAGAAGATCTGAAGTCTTGAGCTAAAAACCTGAATTTGAATTGTCTGATTTGTATATTCAGGTAATTTAAAAAACTTTCAATTATAAATTTTAATGAGAAAAAATATTTCACCGGAGTTACATAATACCTTTCCTACATTCTTTTGAATAGACCATCAAATTGGCTGGTATGGGAATCATTTTAAGGAATTATGTAGTGAAATGTGATATTCAGTTTCTGTATACAATTACAATCATAATTATAATTTGCTTTTTTTACCACGAAACACCAGATTGAACACACTGAAGACCGTGAATTTAAGATACGCCCTTTTCCATGAATCGGTAGACATCTTGAAGTGATGACAAACAACCCAAGTCAGTGGTGGTGCGTAACCAACAAACATAAGATAAGGCGTATAAAACGTGTGCAATTTAATAACTGAATTAATAAGTACGCTCAACTTGAGGCCTTCCTAAAAATAAGTAGGCCTATAGGCCTCTAGGCCTAGTCCTCCTGTACTACTAGGCCTAGTCTTAGGCCTAGGCTAGGCTCCAACTCCAAGGCTCAGACGGTCAGTCAGTCAGGACTAGATAGGCCTAACTAGCTAGATATAGTAGAGTAGAGGGGCTAGCCTAGAGGCCTAGTTGTCTAGGCCCAAACTATCTATCATCTACGCCTAGGTAGGCCAGGCCAGGGTCGGGTGATAGGCATAGCTTTCGCTTTGACTAGGACCGTAGTATAGACTAGCTAGGCTAGGCCTAAAGATCTATTATTTTATAAGTTATTGTTTTAATATGAAACGTATATATTTAACATAAAAATTTCAATTGATCCACAAACATCTTACGTTTTCAGTAAACTACTTTCAACTGTTTTTCTTTCGTGATAAACAAACCATGCATTGCTTGGGCCGAAGCCTAGTTTAGTATAAGGTCAGAGGTTACGCCAGACAGGGTGAGAAACTATAATTATTGTAAAAGCAATACGTTTGCATTTTTATTATTAAAATTGTTTAAAACGAAAATATTTAAATTTAACTTGCCATTAAAACATAATGATTATTTATTTATTTTAAAATAAAGTATTTTTTGGCCAAAACTTCCCCAAATTAGCGCCCTCTAGAGTAAAGGAACCTGGAAACTTTTTGCAAAGATTATAAATATTTACCTCTTTGGGCTTATTCGACTGGTTCATTTCGTTGAGTATGAATTTTCGTTGAGTACAGTATTATTATATTTTCATTGGACTGGTTCGTTAAATAGACTTAAACCAGAGTACGTTAATCAGCGTTAAGTTATCCATGTGACCAAAAAAAAAAACCTGGCCAATTGGTGAGTTTATAAACAACATTTGCGTTAGTATAAATTAAATTTCATAAAATAAAAATTATAATATTTAAACAGTACCTACATTGATGGAGAAGGCTGCTTCGGATTGTGGCAGTATGGGTTTTTCGTAAAAAAATGTTTTCATCCCGTTTTTAAATTCTGTTATTTTTTTACTTCAATGTGGGTAAATATTATAATTTTTATTTTCTGAAATTTAATCTAAATTATATTAACGCAAATGTTGTTTCTGGTTACGGTTATTTTCGTTGCCAACGAAGTCTCTTTTACAAACGTACCAGTCGAATGAAAATGATACTCAACGAAAATTCGTACTCAACGAACTAAACTAGTCGAATAAGCCATTTGCTTTTTGTTAGAAAGAAAAAAAAAAGAAGAGAAGCTAATGATCGAAGTTTGAAAAAGAAATTGTCTCAAAATTCACCAAATCAGTAAGTCTAACGAAGTCGTTGTTACAAATATGAATATTTATTATACAGTTTTTCTACACGGAAGATAAAATCAAATCTGATTAAGAAAACCTTTAATGAGGTTGTAGCCTAGGCCTAGCCTAGCCTAGGCTAGGTACCTGGTAGCTACCTAGCCTAGGCGATACAAGGGAGGACCTTATTTTATAGGCCAGCAGTGATTAGGCTTATGTAGGTATAGGCCTATGTTTGTATGTTTAGTACTAGGCCTATGCCTAGCCTATGGTAGGCATACTCTACTCTAGCCTGCTAGTCTAGCTACTAGGCCTAAATAGGCTAGTAGTAGTAAGAATTTAGTTTGATTTTAAAAGTGTTTTTAGCATATCACAGCCAGAATAGTTTTAAAACTGACTGTTGTTATTCAGTAGAAAAAAATGAAGGTTTTAAGCTTTTGGATACCAGCTCTACCTCAACATCTAGGATTTGTGTATATTTGTCAGAATAATATCTGTAAAAATTTTAACATTGCTATGCACATGCTGGTAGATAGGTAGTTATGGAACACCACACAGTGTTATTCCTCATTAGAAATGATTAATTTAAATTGCAGTTAATTTGCATCATAATTTAAACTTTACACCTATTTTCCACATAAGCTCATTTAGGTAAATTTTACCTCCAGTACATTGTATGCATGAATGCACTCCCCACATACCACAATGATTTTCTATCTGCTATTCACTTAAAAAGCGTGTGATGTGATTCGACAAACTGCCAAAACAGGGTACAAACAATTATGAATAGAAATTTGAAGAAAAAAATTATCATTGGTTTCTTAACCAATCAGTATGAGGCATATGACAAGAAAGCTTAATTTAGGAGCTACACTTGACCGTTCACCCCCAAAGTTTGGCGACCTGTGGTTGCTGAGTTATTCAGTAGAAAAAAATGAAAGTTTTAAGCTTTTGGATACCAGCTCTACCTCAACATCTAGGATTTGTGTATATTTGTCAGAATAATATCTGTAAAAATTTTAACATTGCTATGCACATGCTGGTAGATAGGTAGTTATGGAACACCACACAGTGTTATTCCTCATTAGAAATGATTAATTTAAATTGCAGTTAATTTGCATCATAATTTAAACTTTACACCTATTTTCCACATAAGCTCATTTAGGTAAATTTTACCTCCAGTACATTGTATGCATGAATGCACTCCCCACATACCACAATGATTTTCTATCTGCTATTCACTTAAAAAGCGTGTGATGTGATTCGACAAACTGCCAAAACAGGGTACAAACAATTATGAATAGAAATTTGAAGAAAAAAATTATCATTGGTTTCTTAACCAATCAGTATGAGGCATATGACAAGAAAGCTTAATTTATGAGCTACACTTGACCGTTCACCCCCAAAGTTTGGCGACCTGTGGTTGCTGAGTTAAGTGAAGCAGAAGCAGTTAATATACCAAAAAACTGGAATTTTAGCTTTTCTTCATATACAGAATCATAAAGTATATGAAAATTTGAAAAAAAAATGATAACTCAATTTTACATTGATTGTAAAAATATATAGATGATTATAAGGCGAGACTTTTTTTATTCCTTGTTTCGCAAACTTTTAAAGATTATCAGAGGAGGGAGGGAAAAAAATAAAAATAAAATTTTGTTTTCTTATTTAGCAAATAGTTTTGCCAAAAACATCCAGACGGAGGAGAAAATAAAAATAAAATTTTATTGGTGAGTGTAAACAGTGTAGTAATGGGATGGTTAAATGCTTCAAATTTATATAATTAGGAAGAAATATACATATCTTATCTTCTGAAGATTTCAAGGAAGCGGAGGGTGTAATAAAAATAAAGAAAACCATTTTTTTGTGGTCCCACGTGTGCTAATTGGCCAAAAATAAAATTTTATTTTTATTCAAAATAATCAATACTTGCGTGCAGCGGGTTTGCTAAACAAGATATAAAAAAATTCTCGTCTAAAGCTTAAAATATCTGGTTTTTTAATTCAATCAATCCAAATTGTCAAAAGAAACCATTCAAATTGTATAGTCGATTTTGTGAGCAGATGACTGAAAGATTTCCTTATGGAGAATAGTTTCACATTTGTCTTACTTTGCTTTTAGTGTGAGATAGTGATTTTGAATTTGTTGCTATTTTGTCTTTATTGTATTTCTAATATCTTATCCTTTGGTTAAGTAAATTAACTAAAAAGTAAAAAATTGACAGTGAATTTTACAGGAAAGATGCATGAAGATGATGGTAAAATTAGGCCATACAGGGTAATTGTAGATCCAAGAGATCCTATGAAGTACAGTGAACCATCACCGAGGCCCTGCAGAAAACACATAGGAGAAGAAGATAAGAAAGAACAGCACAGAATGAATGAAAGGTATGATTATTGACCTTGGTCTGTATGATGCAAGTCTTGGAATAATGGAATAATAAATACTGTAGCAGAATAAAATATACCAGTTTTAAATAGTGCATCACCCTATCATAGGACCATGTACAGTACTTACCGACTACCCTGGTGTTACACTTAGTAATAAGTGCTTTGGAATTCCAAACTACAGTATTAGATTGCCACTAATACTGGGTAGGGGCAACCATAGACTGGGTTCCAGTCCCAAAATTTTGTCTTAATCAGTGAAAACTATTTAAAATAAATTGATTTTGGCATCAATGGCATTCCATATTACTTATTTGCATGGCGTTCCATACTGTACTTTTTCTGAGTTCCAAATTTCATCAACAGGCACTCTCCAAAATTATCTAGCACAACTAGGAAAAGTCAATATTATATTTAAAATTAGAGACTTGTGGCAAATCTAGGGCAACCAAATTACATAAAAAGTACACAGAGAGAATTGCATTTGAAACACCAATGTAAAGAGATGAACAATTTTTATTCCTGTATAATTTGATATGTGTAAAAACCATAGAGCTATTAAACAACTAGAATGCTGACAAGATGGCGAAGCAATGCAGAGTTATGTATGTGTACCATCCAAGATGGCCGCCGTAAGAAAGCGCCACCTTCAAACTTATTACCATAAATAAGCCCTCTGACTGACTATTATTTCATTAATGATAATTAGTATTGATAATAACAAATTATTGAACTATCATAGCCAAAAAGAGGCCAAGTAGAGCATCTTATTCAAACATTAAAAAAAAAATAAAATCGTGTACATTACACCCATACACCGCAACGCTCGAGTTTCAAACATACGGGTAACTATAGCTATACTGAACTTTTCGTGCAAATTGAGGGCGCCATTGAAAATGATAGTGCTTATGCAAAATTTGATTGGCTGAATCTATGGCAGCCATCTTGGATGGTACACACACACAGCTCTGCGTATTTCGAACATCGAATACATTGCAGTTAGCGCTCTAGTATTCTTATTATATCTCTATGGTAAAAACTAATGTCTCCTTCTGTCTTGTAGATTCAGACACCATAATTTAAACCTTGCCATACAAGAAATGGTTAAGATTATACCGTACCCACAAGGTAGTCCACCAAAGAATGAAACCAAGGTAAAGACCGTTCAGTGGTAAAAGCATAGTAACTCAGTGGTACTGTGCTGTACGCATGGTAACACAGACCCTATTCGTATAGGATGTGTAAGGACAGGGGGCTCAAAAACCCTCAACCTTCAACAATTGGTCCACAACCAGCTTAAGTAACAGGGGGATCAGTTTAAAGTCTAAAGGCAACTCTGCATACAGGAGGAAGGAGGTGGTCCTGTTAAGGGTTCCTGGAAAAAATTGTTTATAGATGCCGGAAAATTTCCAACATTTTCAGGGAGGTTATGTGTTATTAAATTTATCAAATTCATTGAAGCTCCACTGCCTGTTCCACAAGGAATATTCCAATTCTCCCTTGGTTACGGGTCTGAATATGTGCACATCTTTTTTATCTGAATTTAAATTTCAGTAACTTTACCACTTTCACTCTGATTTTTAAATATTTTGCTACAGTACAATATTCTCCATCGAGCAAGTGCCTATATGAATTTCCTGAAAAGCAAGATCTCTGAATTA